TCACTATGTCTATTTTCATCCACCATCTTCTTTGTAACCATTAACAAGAGAGGAGAGAGAGAGGTTGTGGTAGAGAGAAAAACGGTGGTTGTGGTGGAGAGAGAGCGTTGGAGAGAGTGTGAAATTTTTATTAACGGTATTTTCGTGGCATTTTGAAAAAAATTAAAAAATGTATGGCATTTTGTAAAAAAATTTTTGAAATTTATGGCATTTCTCATAATTTTTTCATTTTGTTACCAAAAATACTTTTTTATCATAATTTTGAATTTTTTTGGTTTTTATCAATAAAATTTGTTTTTATGAATAAAAGCATTTTAGTAAATATACTAAATTTAGTAAATTTGAGAACTGTGCCTAAACTTGTTCTCAAGTTAGAAGATTAAAGTTTGTAATTTCCACACCTCTTTCGATTAAAATAAAACATAGGACATCTTCATGAGTTGGATTAAAATAAAACATAGGACATCTTCTACAAAACCCAATCAACTTGGGAAATTCAAGCAGTTTCCTTCATGACTTGGATCTCGCATTTGGATGAAGCTTTGGGAAGAAGCAAAAGATCCTTCATGAAGCGACTTCCTTCTCCATCATCCACTGCTTTATAAGCAACCCTAACCATTTCAAGACGCGATAATTTCCCCAAGAAACGTTTCATTTGATTAAGCTCTCGACAAGTTCCTTTATACCCAGTAATCTCTAAAACCTTTACTCCAGATGATGACATAGAATCAGACACATCATCCCAATCAATATGTAGACGACACACACCTTCCCATCCTTCTCTAACATAGTGCACTAAACCCTGAAAATAAAACGTTTTGGAGAAATTATATCATTGTAGAATTCAGAAATTAGTGTGTATATATATATCTCTTTTTGCGTAATACCTTGATGATGAGAGTTTCAAGATTTATCGAGTTGAGGAGCAGAGATGGAAGCAATTTCCAGAAGATGAATGGTGAACCATGAGGTCTACGACTGCTTCCCAGAGATAAACAAATCAAATTGTTGAACACCGGTATCTCTTCACCGCGGTAATAGAGCGCCTGTAACACGAATCAAATTAACTCTTTTGCAATGATATACTAACCTAGCCACACATTTCAAGGAGCTACTTAAAGGGGACTGACCTCTAGAGCATCCGGAGATAAGCAAAGGATCTTGACATTTCTAATTCCCATGAACAAAGTTGTAACATCACCAGGAACAAAAGGAATATTATATGGAGCATTTTTCCGCATGATTTGATTTGCGGTCAAAAGAAGATCAAGCCTAACTTCAACAAGGCTATCTAAATGGAGATTCTCATACTTATCCGCGACCATATCCGAATAATCTAAGTAAACAAGACTCGGAGTATCAAACGAAACACAAGGTTTAGGACCATAAGAATCACCATCACTAATGTACATAAGTTTCTTGATTGTTGAACTTGAAATAGACCCGTTCCAATAGTACCACCCTTTCGATTCATGGATCCTCATATTTCGAAGCCAAGGGAAAGCTGATAGAATCGGTTTAAAACCAAGCTTATGATCACCAAACGCAACTGAATCAAGAAAGAGTGATTCAAGCATTGGAGAAAGAGAGTCGGAAGGAGACCGAAAAAGACGAATTCTTGTTCCCATTCTAAGGTTTACTAGTGTCTTGCTCGTAAAGACACTAAATGGCAGATTAGAGATCCTGTAATCTAAATGTATAGCAAGTTCAGAAACACCAAGATCCATAACTGTTCGTATCCACCGTATTACACGATCTCGTTCAACACCTACATGACGACACTTGAGAGTGACTTTCTTAACCGATGATGAGTTCTTGATTCGTAGAGACAGTAACCTATCCACGAAATCTTTGAAAACCTCGATTTGTCGTAAACCCATTTCGGGATTTCGTAACTCGGAATCGTTGAAATCGAGGTAAGGTACCGATTGAAGAAGATTCGACCATCTTTTTGATAGAACCGATGTTAAAGCAGCATCTTTTGTCGAAAGGAAAGACAATAAGTGGTAGAGAAGATCATCTGGTAAATAGCTAACTGAGTCTTTGGAACTTGGATTCGGTTTTTTATTAGCTTCCATTCCGATCGAGAGAACGAACGATCTCACATTAGGGTTTTAACGAATGTGAGAAGCAGATTTTGATTTCATAAAGAAGACTACTTTAAGAGGAAGCCATGAAAGTGAGACTGAAAGTGATCATAAAGCTTAGAAATTTACAGAGATTTGAGGAAAAGAGATGAAATTTAGTGTTTGAAACTCCAAGACGATAAGCCCCAAGAAATAAACCAAGAAACTGTCAATTGGGTCTTAAACCTGTTTTGGGCATTTGGGACGTTACCGAGTTCGAAGAGTTGCCAAAAAGACAAAATTAGTTTTTTTTGGGGAAATCAATATTTCTGAACTCTTGTGTGTGTGTATATACGTTACAAACCGATAAAGTGTTTAGAGAAAAACGTTACGTTTAGTATTATAATCAAAGCCAAAAATGGACCCGAGAATCATCATTTCAAAGGCACCACCACACGAGGAAAGAAAAAAACAAGTTGTCCAAAATGGAGTGATAGCTATAGAATCAAAGTGACGTAGGATATGACGTTGCAAAAGAAAGCCAGAAAAAAAAATTGACCTTTTTGCTTTTTTTAAGTGTAACCAGCAATTCTTATGAAAAAACTCAAAACCCTCTCGTCCATATCTTTTTCATTTCCCTTCTTGTGATTAATTATCAAATGATTTCATTTATTTATAACTGAAAACAATAAATTGAATTTGAAGTTTTCCA